CGCCACTCGGCCGGTCCCTATTAAGCCTTCCAAAAAAACTTTTTTTAATCTTATTTCTTTTCTTCTCACCATTTTCTTCTCAGCACAGACAGTCCCATACCTTTTCTCTCCAAACTCCTCTCCAGCCTCTTTTCTTTTTTCCAGCTCTTTGCTGTGAAATCGGACCTTTTATAGCTATTTCCTCTGGAGAGGCCTGGTCCTCTTTGGAGCGTGAGAGAGAGGGAAGAAATAGCAGGAGGCTAAGCTGGAAAGCTCTCCAGCTGTGGGGGAAAGGGACGGACTGGGAATAATCAGACACTAACAAGTCTATTCCATCACTTCAGCAGGAGCCTCTTTCTCCCTTGGGGTTCAGTAAGAACTATTCATTTTTGAATAGGGGGAAAAAATGTAGCTCGTAAACAATTTTATTTTGGGCCCTTACATTCAAAGGCCACAGACTAGCATCCAGACTTTTCTTCCCTTGTGATTTCATAATTGGAACTCGTGTCTGGCTCAGAGGAGAACAGCAAGCTTGGGGACAGGTAACTACCTGTAGAGACAGACAAGATCTAGATCTGAAGGCATTCCCCAGAGGTCACCAGTCCCTTGCTTTTTGCTGACCAGGCCTATTTGGAGCAAATTACTTACTGTTCTGCCTGTCAAGCTTGGAGCTGAGAAATCCAAGGGGATGGAGATAGACAGGTAGGAGGGATCAGTGTCAAGAGACAGGCAGTTTAGATGAATTCTCTTGGCCAGTGCTCCCCTCCCCTCCCCCTCCTCCACCCCTGGTAAGCAGAAGTGTTTGCCAATAGTGTTTACCCCTTGTCAACACTGCCAAATGTGGAGGCCTGGGTCAGGCCCACTTCCTGTATTAACCTAGGCCATGCGTACTTGGGCAAATCTCTCAACTCTGTAAAGTCACTTTCCTTTATATAAAATAGGGATAAAATATGAAATTTCTTCACAAAGTTCTTGTAAGGACTAAATGAAGTAGCAAGTCTTTGAAAGGCTGTCCTAAACTACAAAGTGTTATAGAAATGCTATTTTATAATTTTTAAAAATATCGAATTTATGTTTTCCCCTCTAGATCTCAGATTAACAGATTCCTAACATTATATATATATATNGGCGGGCTGAGGGGCCCGGCCGCGCCCCCTCCTCGCCCCCCTTCCCGCCGCCCCACCCAGCCCAGGGTGACCTCGCGCCACCAGCCTCACCGGGTCGGAGCTGGAGGCCGCCATCGCGGCGGCTGCACCACAGTGCGCGCTCGCCCTGCTGCAGGATGTAGTGGTCCTTGGCTTGAAAGAGCTCCATGCCGGCCCCGGATGCCGAGGGAGGCGGTAGCAGCTCCCCGGCCTGGGCGGCGACAGCACGCGGGGAGCACGCAGGGCGTCCTCGTCGGCCGGGGCCACCAGAGCCCGCGCCCCCGGGAGCGGCGGCTGAGGGAGCGCCCCAGCTGTCGGAACCGCGAGAGGAGAACCCGCCCCGAAGGTGGTGGCGGCTGCGGCGGCGGCAGCAGTGGCCTTAGAGGCCTCTCCCCGGGCTCCTCCCCCGGCTCCACCCCTCCTCTGGCCCCTCCCCCGACTTCTCCCAGGCTCCTCCCCCTCCCTGGCTACTCTACCGCCTCTTTCTTCTTTCTGCCCTTTCGCGCCGCGTTCTCCTCCAGGCTTCTCCCACCCCGTCCCGGGGCTCTTCTTCCTCCCTCTCCTTGTGTTCCCTCAGCCTCCTCCGGCTCTTCCCAGGCTCTTCCTCCGGCCGTGCCTTCCCTCCCGCCCGTGGCGAACGCGGGCAGAACCCGGGCATGGCTGAGTCCGGCTGTCCCTCTTCCTTTCTTGTGGCCTTTGGAACAGAAGCCCACTCACGGGGGCCTCCCCTCCCGCGCCGGCGGGTTAATTCGTTCTTTTCACCAGCCCTGGGGAAAGCCTTGCCGAATCCCTAACTCCAGCTCGAAACCCCCTCCACCTTGGGGGCTTGAGCTGCCCGCTGAGACCCAAAGGAGGCGAGCCGGAAATGGTAGCTCCAGCCAGGCGCTCTGCCCAGTGGGTTGGCCTTCTGTTCTGGTATTTCCTCTTAGAACCTCGTGACGTTTGACAACAGCAGGCATTCAATAAATGCACATCCATGAGGAGCATGTAACAACGAGTAGAAAATACACAAGTATTATCAGCACAGGGCTCTACATAGCAGGGAGGAAGGAGCCAAGTTCAGAAGCTAGTGTGCCCCCGAATTAAGCAGGATAGGCCATTAATGAAGTGGATGGGTATCAAACACGGGTAAGGCGGCTGGAGAACCTCTTGTGGAAGGAGAAAGCCCTCCCAGGTATCTGAGCTATGTTGCAAGGTCAGGTGGCGTATTGAACAGAATTGTGCTTGAGTCAGGCCCCCAGTTCCAGGCCCAGCGCCAGGTGGGATCTACCTGTGTGATTTGGGGATGTCTCTTGGTCTCAGATGATGACATTTAGTTACACTCCCAGTTTCATAAATCTTTATGTCTTCTATCTTCTGCCTTGTCTAATGCCTTAGAAGGGAAGAAGAAAAAAAGACAAGGTAGGAGACAAGAAAAGCAAGGCAATACTTTTTCCCTTCTGCTTAGATAAAAGTGAGACGGCCCAAATGCAGACAGGGGTTCCACATTACTAATTATTCCAGCCCCCACTGATTTCTCTGTTGAATTTCCATAGCACAGACAGTCCCATGATGGCAAAATGTCCTGGAGTCTCTGATAAGTAGTACCATGCCTTCTGGGCTGCCCAGACACTTCAACATAAAGGTCTAGAGGAATGGTCACTATCTCACGTCTTTCTGATGTGACTTGGACACACAAAAATAGTAGAAATAAAAAGGTGGTAAGAAGTTTCAGTGGAACCATCACTTTAAGATTTATTGTTGAATTCAGCCATATGTTGACTTTGCTTAGCAAAAATAGACAATGAGAAAGTCTTATGAAGATGATATGTTCTGCAAATTATTTCATTATCTTTTAATGAATCACATTGCCAGATGTGAAGAAAATGATGCTATTGTAACTGTTTTAAAACAATCGATCAGTTGATTGAAACTTTCCCTGATGTTTTGGTGTGTTTTTTTTAAGCTGAGCCATCCTGCCACCTGTTGGCAGCTCAGCAGATGCTCAGCTCAGGCCAGGAATCGAACCGCTATTGCTCAGAGCTCATACTCTTGAGTGAGCTTTCAACCAACTGAGCCACTCGGCCGGCCCATTCCCTGCTGTTTTAAACCTGGTTCCAACCCTGGCCTTTATTTTTTATTTTCATTTTCCCCTGGCTACCTTTTAGAATCACCTGGGACTGAGGAGTTTTTCAAACCTACCAATGCTTGGATCTCAGACCAATTAAGCCAGAATTTAATTGTGGTGGGCTCTAGTAGCAGTATTTTTTTCAAAGCTCCCCAGAGGATTCTAATGTGCAGCCAGGGTAAGCACCACTGTTTTAAATGAAATTAATTGAAAAAAACTGCCTGACTGCAGCTTATTAGAAAACAACAGTCAATCATTAACTAATACCATTTTGGGAGGTTAGTTACCTGTAAATCCAGAGTTAACAAGCAGAGTCCTTAGAAGGGAAAAATCCTAAAGGAAAGATACTCCTGGAATCTATCTGACTCAGATGCACACTGCTCTCTCCCTCTCGTTCTAAATGCACACTTGGCTTTGAGGTAAGTAGAGCCCTGGCTTGGCTGAGCAGAATGAGCGAAAGAGTCAATATTCTGTCCTTAGCAGATATGTCCCCAGTCTCCTGCACAGCTGGCTTGCATGCCGGGTGCTTCTGACCCTGAAGCGTCTCCATTCCCAGGCTGGTCTCCCCATCCTTATCCCTCTCTCTTCCAGCCTCCTAATTCAAGACCCCCTTGCCCTTGAATGGCATCAGCAAGGTTATAGTAGAAAGTTCATGTGATGCTATTCTGTTTTTTAAACATGAATAACCATCGTGCATATTATCTATCTCCTTTTACATGTATGGTATATTTATACTAATGTAAGTATATTATCTAGAATGTTAAGTTCTAGCCATTTCTGTGTGATCTCAGTCAAGTCTCTTAATCTTAGTTTGTTTCCTTATTTATTAAAAGAGATGATCACTAAGGGTTCTTCCAGCCCTGTCATCAACGAATGTAAAAGAAAATGAGCCCACATAGTTGACCCCTACACAAATAAGAATGGTAAATAACTCAACTCTGATTATCAGTTTGGCCTTCAATATCAGGTTTATTGTCTCTGAGGTTTTGGGGTTCTAATTAGACTCATGTCCTCCTGTGAAATTTGACTGTTAATATCATGTCTGGTCACACTTGACCACAGTCTTATATGTTGTTTACCTATGAGAACTTTAATCAATCTTATTTGTGTATGAAAATATCTCCCAAAGAAGAGATTATTTTCTCTTTTTTTAATACATATTACGTTGCCAGGAGGCTGCTAATTTCTTAGGTTGGCAGTAGGGGTTGTTAAGAGCCCAAGACACTCACAAACCAAATTTTTACATTTCACCAATCATCAGCCAATTTCTCATGGATTTGTCTGCCAGGAAACTTTTGCTGCCTCCTCCCATAAGTTCATCAGGGACAACTAGAAATTGTAACAACCACTTCGGAGCACTTGGACATATATAAAATTATGTATTTAAGAAGATCATAGAACAAAAAGGGGGAAAGTCCCTCAGGAGACCATCACATTGATCTAAAAGAGAGAGAGAGATCACTTTATTCAATGGAGAAAACCATCTCTTCTTCATTTGTATACTTTTTTAAAGTTTCATTTTCATCCTTTAAAAAAAATGTATTGGGGTAAAATTGGTTAATAACAATTTCTAAACTTTGGGGAGTTAAGAAGTACTGGCTTTTTAGTTGTATGGCTTGATAAAATTGTCAACCCAAGTTATTGTTTAAAACAGCTATAATAATTCGTGTGTGTGTGTGTGAGAGAGAGATAGAGACAGAGAGAGACAGAGAGACAGAGAAAGACAGAGAGAAATGTGTTTTCTGTATCTAATCTTCCAGAGGGAAGATAATTAGCCTTTTACAGTGATAATTTCATATTTGTCTAAAGCCAGCTGTCTCTCACTTCTGTTATGCACTTACTTTTCAATTAAAACAACAAAAAGACAGTTTAAAAAATTAGGTAGTTCTAAATAAGCGAATTTGAAAAAAAATGCCCAAGGTATACTGTTAAATAGAAAAAGTCCAAGTTACAGAATAGTATTTTAAAGTATTCCATTTGTATTTTTAAAGAGGAGGCAATAGGAGAGATATTCTGATTTTACAAGCCCAAAAACATTCTGAAACAAACCCCAAGGAAGTGTGGTTACCTCTGAGGAATGGAAATAGAGGGAGGTATGGTAGTGGGAGAAATCAGAAAGGAAAGGAGACTATAACTTTCCTTTTCACTTTACATTGCTGTACACCGTTTTGATTTTTATAACCATGTGCTTTTACGCTTTAAATTAAAAAAATTAAAAAAAACTAGTTTTTTGGGGTTGTTTGTGTGTGTGTGTGTGTGTGTGTGTGTGTGTGTGTGTGTGTGTGTAAAACTCATTCTTCCACCACACACAAAAACATATTTTTAGGTAATTTCTTACAGATCTAGAACCTTTTTGCCTTGACAATCCAGGAGTCTAAGACATAGCTCTTTTTATTTTTCATATGCTGCTTAATATTTTTGAGCTTTTCTAATACCTTAAATACTGTCAAAGGAAGGCATAGTTAAGTATATAAGCCATTTTTCTGCACTGTATACTCTTTTAAATGGAGTGTTAAGAACAGGGTGTTTTTTTTCTTAACACCTTTTCTAAACCACAGCAGTAGCTGTAGCTTGTGCTCCTCTCAGCCATTGTTAATTCGAAAGCTGATGGCCTGCTGGGGTCTGTTCCATTGCAAACCAGTAACAATTGCCAAAGTGCCTTCCGTTAGATAATCATGTTAGAAATGGTTTAAAGAATGGTTTGTACTGCACCAGACAACAAACGGGGGAAGACAGGATTACTTCAGTAGAAGTAAATCCTTGGAAAAGCTGCCCAGTAGATTTCAAACCCATTGCTTCTTCTCCTGGTTAAAGAAAAATAATAGTTCACAATGTTTCACCATTTTGTAAGAGCAGCCCTTAGTGACAAGGAAATATAGGGTTTGGGTTTTCCTAATAAAGTTCCATTCGTTGTCCTCAATTTTATTATACAGCAATTCTTCAGTGAGGCTAAGGAAGGGTGTGTGTTGGGGGTAGGGTGTTCAGACTGCTCCTGACTTAATAAGCAAGAGGGGGGTGAGGGGGTTAGGGGTGGGTATGACACATAGGTGGAGGGAGTAAAGAGTGGAATGTGATTGGCCAAGTCTCGAAGATGGTGTTTTTACCAAGGCCCACGATGGGCAACCAGAGACCAGCTGCAAAAGTGGCAAATGTATATTTTCAAAATTTGGCCCTCACTCTAATTTTAGAATTAGAGTGCTATTGCAGCTTCCCGAATATGGTGCAATACTAACATTTAAATTGCCCACAAACAGTGTATCATTTCTCACTGCTGTTCTATGATTTCATCAAGT